ATCTGGTTTGCTTGATGTGCTGCAGCGTGTACCTGAGTTATGTAGGATGCGGTTTGCGTTTTACCTCGTAAATGTTCATGAAAATTTCGAGATATTGCGCCGCTGACAGCCTCGCTCGACTTTTGTACTGCACTGATGCCATTCTCTGTACTTTGTATTTTGTTTTATTCAACGCCTTTATTCTTATTCGTTAGTGAATTTTGATATGGTAGCGTTGTTGCTTTTATAATATTGTGTGTTTTTTTGGGTTAAAAGGTTTGTCAATCATGTTTTTCTTAATACTCAAATTGATAACATTTTTGTGAAGTTTGATTAGATTTGTGGTGATTATTAACCTACTATGTAATATATATATATATATATATATATAGTACGTTCACGGAAATTCCATAATAAATGCCTCCATGTTATACTTAATTGTCAAATATCGATTTGGAACATTCGGAGTACAATTTGTATTTTAAAGTGAACCATTAGCAAGTCAATTGCTTTATGTCCACGAAAATCTTTTAATATACCAGTTTGTCAGTTATATGACAAAAGCATGGTTGATTGACCTATAAAATATTAATTTCCTATTTTGTGTGTCAGCCACTGCAGTGTACATACAGATTACTTTGTCAGTTACGTTTTTTGAATGGTGACCAGTGGATCTCAATTCCTTAGTGTTCTTGGTTGTTTTGATTTTCCTATCCTACTAATATTATAAATGCAAAAATGTGTATGTATGTTATTTACGTTTGTTAATGTTAAAGTCAAAGTCAAAGTCAAAATAATATATTTCAATTATACCAGAAGGCACTCTTGAACGTCAATAATAAAATTTTTAAAGTGAAGCTATTTGCTCATACCAAGGAGTAGATTCCTCTGGAGAAGAACGAGCAAGAAACTCCATAGGTTACTCCATAGGTTAAATGTTAATTCTCCACGGAATCTTGGTCTGTCCCTTGTCATACATTTTTTTTAGAATAAGTGTAATCACTATTTATAAAGTATCTATGTTACTCACTACTGGCTTTTTAATTGCTGTTTGAGTTTATGGACGTTGCTGGTTGCTGATGATTGACAGTAACTTTTTTATTACATAAAATAAACTCTGCAACTGTGAACAATTTTTTTTTAAGTGGGGAAAATTATCGGATCGCTTCTCCCACCTGTGCCTGTGTGAGGCGGAAGAGAGTGGCAGACTCCTACTGACTAAAAACCACCCCGTTCCTTCTCCTGCACTTCGAGCTGGAGCCTCGGTAACCCGTTAGGTTCTCCGCGACAACTGTGAACAATAACCTCGATTTCTATCACCTAGGAAATTGGCAAGCGACAGAAATCATTCAAAGTCCACAACATTATTAACCTTAGTAAAATAAGGAGTAATTTGCTCTTATGTGTGCAATATAAATTGGAGGCAACAATTACAATAACTCCTGATGCTCGGTCACAAGCCATTAAATTAAAAATACATAGCTAAGGCTGGTTTAAGTACAATTTATTGTTTGCCCTCGTTAACTCTAATAACATAATGCCCGTAAACAAGTCTTTCAGTGAGATATATAGGGAAATGTTTATTAATTCAAATTATGGCTTCGTAATGGCTATTCTTTAAGCGGTGGAAATATTGCGGTATGGAGATTAGTTCTGTTTTGTTTATTGGAGATTGACTCTTAGGTCCTGTGTATTAAGATTTATTTGAAGTCATTTTTGTGTTGTCCTAGCGTTAGGTAGATAAATAATTCGTGAATTCACTTTGTCTACAGACATCCATAACTTCAATAGCCAATTGCTACGATTCTTGCATACCTATTTCGCTTCATCGGTCTTTTCATGCATGCTCGTCGGTTAAGGGTACTTTTAATTTGACCCTTTTTTTTCTAACTATAAAGACAAAGTGATATCAATAAGTTTTATTTTATTTTAATGCCGCATTGCTTATTTCGTGTACACTTAGCTTGAATTTATATGAAAACTAGCCAGCTTGATAGACCTTGTTGGCTTTTTATGCTGTTTTTGTCTTATCCATGTCAAGTTTGTTTACATCAACAGATTATAAATGCCCACTGCTGAGCAAAGCCTTTTCTCACACGGAGAACGTTTGAGCATTAATCACCACACTTGCTCAATACGGGTGGGCAATTTCCAACTTATAATTAGAAATGATGAGCACAGGTTTCCTCAGATGATTTCCTTCACCGTTTCTCAGTTGTGTCTTAATAATCTCAGAAAGTCAATCAAGAAAGTCAATCAAAGTCAATCAATCAATCTCAGAAAGTCAATCACATTGGTACTTGCCATTGATAGGTTTTGAACTCGCACCTTCAGACATGAGAAGCCTCAGTCTTAAGCCTCCGGGCCACCATGACACAAGTTCTGTTTAGTGCATAAGTATCATATTCACTAATGAAATACTTATTCTCGCATTCTCAATTTTAAATACCTAGAAAATAAGAGCGTTAATTGTGAATCAAATATTTTTCCCAGTTCTGTACCTAATTTATCTGTGGAGTAGGAATTTAAATAAATTGCTGACGACGTAGCTATTAAGGGGTTTTAACTCAGGCTTTACGATCAGCATCGTCTGATAATTGTGCGTTGTAAATTCACTTTCTCTATCTGTTTTAAGGCATTCTCTTTCTTCTAATTGTTTATTAAATCGCTGTAGAGTTTTATTGACAAACCTATTGGGTATTGGGAGACGAATGGTGTTTTTATTTGATTTCAGTTGGATTTGCTCTTTTATTTATTCATAGTTTGTTTTGTTGGTAACGCAGTCAGGTAGGTTTCGAACAGATATAGTGCCATTCAGAAATGAATAATAAAAAAATTGATGAAGAATGGTTTGTTTCTAAAAGATATATTTAATAGGACAGATAAAAACCACAGCTTTATATTGCATAATTGTAATTATAATTATTTTAACACGATTCTCGCACATAACACAAAAGTCATCTTCTAAATCGTTACAGCAGTTTTCGAACAACGCAAAACAAACGCCAGCACAAGAATTGCTTATCAATAAAAGACCCATTACACTCACTTCAACGGACAATTCATGTAGAAGATACCCACAGGTCCTATAGTTAAAGGACAATTGGTCATCGTGATTCACATTGTCTGTCCAACAATGGAAGACGACGGGTGCTAACCACGACCGATATCGGCTGCAAAATTCAAGCAATTTCACGATATCCTACCTTTTGAACGACCCGTATTGAATTGATGTTCAGTTTTGTGGTACACCATCCATTAGGAAAGGCTAGAAGATGTGGTAACTTAGAAGTAAAGTCTTGGTGGAGATGATAATTAATTAATTTGTAGAAATAACTTTAGGCTATTTTAAGGTCAGATTTGGAAAACCATAATTGATTGTATTAAACTTGATCTATCGTTCATCAGATTTGTCTCTGAATCCAAACAGGAATTAATATAGAATACCAATGGGAAAACATTACCTATGGAATACGTCTGAAAAATCTTTTACAGCATACAAATTACTTGTGCCATCTTCAACGGATTGTCAAGTGAATTTACACACTTTTTATAATGATGTATACACCCCTGAGACGAGACTTCACAACCATTCACCGATTGGAGTGCTCACCAATGTTTCTCCTATACATGAATAAACAATATTCCTCCCTAGGGCTGTCTCGAACGTAACCTTGCTTTGTTTCCAGTTCATATTGAATTCCTATATAAACATTTTATTACCTAAACAAATCAGTAAAGAAATTCCTTGTGGTGTACTAAAAAAAGGATTATTGGTGATGCGTAGCGATGTGAAATAATTGTTTGTTACTGTGAATCCGTTTTATTTGCTGGCATTTGTTTTGAAGTTGTCAGTCAATATGTTAATTGTTATTGTAGGTAATTAGGTAGGTTGAATTAAGTAATAAATGAATATTTACACGTGGTATTTGGATATTACCAACATAACTAATCACATTATTATACACAATATTTACTCTTAAAATAAATAGTTGTCAGACTTATTTTTCATAGCCATTTAATAAATACATTTAATAATATAGTAATAGCTATAAAACCACTAACATTAAGGCAGTCTCTTTTAAACCTGTAATCGAAGTTAATAACAATCAAAAGCGTATCGAACAATCCACTTGGAAAGAGCTGACATATTGAAGTTGAACACCCTCTCCAAGTACCCAGTAATTTATATGTTTTTTTGCAAAAATATCGTCAGTCAGTTTAACCATGTGAAAATATTCGAGCTTAACGAAATATTTTTGGTGCAATATTCATGGACAACCAAAAGTAATCCATCAGGGGTCGACGTTATATTATAAATGAAATCCCCACTCGCAGAGACGTAAAAAGTATTTTCAGATTATTGCATTTTGGTGACATCGGCAACTATATTAAAATATGGTATTTTATATAAAATATTTTACCTTTTTGGACTTTATGATACTGGCTCCAAAATTGCAGTGTTGTAGTAGAATATTGCAGATTGATAAAAGGTAATTTACACACGAGAGTACAATGCGAACTGTACAATTAAATTCACAACTGTGATTAACCAAAAACTATGTATAATATTATTGCAGCCATTTGAATAACAATGAGTGACCTCATTTTTCCAGTATTGTCATTGGTCGCTCAACATACCCTGGTAGGTGACGTCCTACGTGGGTAATTTCGGACAAAAGGAACGTGATCTTTTCAAATCTTTTGAAAGGCTTAATGTGCTTGACCCACACGTAATTCAACACCACTTACATATATTAGGGATGTGCTCTCGGCCTCGAATATGTACTAATGTACATATTAATTGTTGACATAATTATGTTATCTACTTTCTCTTCCCCGGGTCCTCTCATTCGTTTCGTTTTTTTAAAAGATATAAGTTTGGTTTGCAAATGACTTTAAAAACTTTATTGTTTTAAACTGTATACATACTAGTATTATAAATAATTAAATTATCCTAATTAAAAAGGAAACAATAAAAGAAATAATTATATGATTAAAATCTAATTACAATTATGTTAATAAAGTAGATTACACTTGAATTTTTACGACACACATTGAAAGAAAAATTAGCCAAAGTATTTGTTTCGCACATATTTTAATCAAATACACACACAACCTAAACACAGTTAATGTTTGTCGGAATACTCCTTGAGTAGAAACAATGTAATTAAACAAACAAACGCTAGCTTTATAGAATACAAAACGAATGAAACTACAAAGTGGAGGAATCTCTGCGCATCCGTAACGGAGCCATTGCTGTATTGTACTGAGGAAATAGGAACTTGAAACGTGAATAAAGCCAGTCTTTTCTACCATTTGCATCGATCAAATAGTAAAATAAACCTGCAATATGATTCTCTTAATACTACCTTACTATCAGTAGAAACAGTGCTTAAAACCCGCCTGTTGGTAAACGGACACTATATCTTAAGTACATTTATAACACTAGGGGGTATCACAAATACTTTAAAGGACCATGTAGAAAACTAATCGATTATGCCATCATTTCTGATAAACTTCTAAAAGTGGTATCAAAATCAAACACTAGGTTGGTTTGCACGACTAATTTAAATATTTCACTAACGCTGTTAAGATAAATGCAAATAGTATGCTATGTCCATTGATCGAGTAGGCGCCGTTACACAGATCGGAGTGGCATATGGAACATGTCTTGTACCGTGGCATCAGCAAGCTCGCATCAGCGTCATCGCATGTTTTGCCACAGTCACGGATCAGGGTGAATGTGTCTGTAACAGAATACGGACTTTTAATAAAAGTTTCTTATTAGTCTTGTCTTTCCATCTCAGTGTCGGAGTATTGTTCGTCAAATGTCATATTCTATTAAAATTAAAAATACTTTCATTTATATATGAAAACTTTCGTGAGACCTACTAAATTAATTATTAAGTATGTTTTAGGCTTATGTGAGTAAGACTAAAAGTAAGAGAAAACTCAACACTCGAGTAGTCAGTAGCAGCGCGACAGACGCCACGTCGCGTGTTGCGAAATGCTGCTCATGAATATGAGCCTATAGCATGGCTTGAAACTAGTCGAGTTCCTCGTTAAACAGTTACGTGAGTAAGCCGAAAACATAATAATTAATTTACTTTTATTTAATTCAGTAACAGAATTGAGTGTAAAGGTAAAAAAATGCATAGGTGTCGTGATAAATCTTAAACGTTACTTACTTCCTTTTCCAAAAGTTTTGGTAATACAAGCGTTGTTTTCTTTTCGACAATACTTTACTGTGGTCCGTCTGTCAGGAGCCGTACAGGAAGGATTGTTAGCGGTACTACAAGCGTAACATATTCGATCCGTCTGCATCATCATTAGCGACGATTGTCCCATATTTACAACTCCATCTCCCTTCGTAGGTTCCATAATTTCATTTCGCCTTTCACTGTACTGCGGTCGCCTAACATGAGATTCTGTCCTCTCACGCAACAGCTTTGTTTTATCCAGAAGAACTGGATCATCACTCTTTGAACTCTTTTCTGCATTCAGAACAGACGCCATTGCGTTTTCGTTATCAGTGTTGGGTTCTCTGTATTGGGCGTGAGTTTCCTTGTTGGGGAATTTTTCTCCATCATCGTGGTTTGACATAGATCGTCTTGTGTTTCCTATGTCCTCGACTTCTTTGTCTTGATCACATTTATTTGATACTGTTAAAGCTGCTTCTGGTTCTGACTTAGCAACAAATTCTGGTAATGAATTGTATGTTTTCAGAGGATTAGAATCACTAGTTAGTGGTGGATTATATTCAGTTCTTGGTACTGTTGCGCTGTTTAACGTCGAAATTAATTGATTTTCATTTTCAGTATTCGGTACGTTGTGAATAGGACTAACTAGTTTTGGTGGGTAACTTTTGTTATTAGGAGATTGATTTAGATTTCTTCGTGTTGGATTTGGTAAAGGGGCCGTGACTGGCATAGGGTGTAATAACGGGACTGGCAGTGGTTCAGTTGTATCATCCTCATCATCTTTTGTTAATATTTGTCGATGATTTTCTTCAAATGAGTCTATTACAGGGTTGGTTATTGTTATAGAATTTCTACTTTTATGTATACTGTCATCAGGAAGCTTCGGTTTAGAATAAGAATCGGCTGCATTTAAATTATTTGCTCTGTTTCTTAAACTTTTAGGTTGAGGTTTTGGCGTTGAAGCCACGATAACAGTGTTTAATTCTGTTTCCTTCGGTGGTAATGGGGAACTGATAGGATCATCTCCAGAATTACTTCGTCTGGTACAAGGTTTTTTTGGTACAGAAGCTCTTGCTATTCGATCGTAAACGCTTCCCCCAAAGGTGTTGTATGTTTGTACTGGCCATTCGCTTCCTGAACTTTTACCAACTTCTGATGGACTTAAATGATAATCATGTTCCTTATACGTTTCTTGTAGGGAACCTGAAATGGGAAATTATTAAATTGAATTATTGAATGATTAATTAATGGTAAACTATCTCCTTTATCTGGTCGTCGATATCCAGATCCAGAAGCTTTTGTAAAAGGCTTGTCTCCTTAAATAAACTAAATAATAATCTCCTAACTCTTTCGAAAAATAAGTTTTATACTATTTTCTTGTTTATTGAAAAATGTTATAGTTTTAAACTCACCCAAAGAAAGTAGATTACAAAAAACCGTTAAAATAAATAATTTCATCGGTCCGTTTTTATTTTCGCACCGAGATAACTTGTCCCTACGGAATTTGAAACTAAAGTGGTGGCAAGTAGAGACCTTCTAAATATATTGTGCGACATAGGAAAGATATTTTATCGTTAAAAGCTGTAAACCAATATCAGTCCATTGTGAATATGCGTTCGTTGGAAAGATATCTTCGGAAAACAATAGATGTCTCGCAAGAACTGTTCTCATTGTTCCAAACTGTATTCTCGTGGATTTCTTTTCCTTACTCATCGAGGTATATACCTCAATTGAAGTTCTAGGTTAATAGGAATCCGGATCCTATCACTAGAACTTGTCCCAAACATATTGATAGTTCATTTATAAAAATAATGGTAAGTAGATATCACAGATACGTGAGTCAAGACATTATAATGTAACATCTTCATCAACTTTTTTAAACGTAAAATAAGATTTTTTCAGTTTAGACAGTAATAATAATCGAAAATCCGAAAACTCACTTTTTACGATAGAACGGTATATTGTACGTAAGTTTATGTTAAACACACATCACGAGACAAATAAAATGTCGTTAGAGGTTTTCCAAACAAATGCTGTTTCAATTTCGGTTACAATCACTGTCAGCCTAAAGGGTTGTGAGAAAAACACAGACAAAACTTGGGCCGCTTGTCACCGGCAGCTGGCCCAGCTCTTGTCTCTGCATAAAATATCGACTTCGCTATAAGTCCGCTCGATAAAATTCGCAATGCTGTTTGTAACAGTAAATATACATAATAGGTCTTAGTTTGTAACATTAAATATACATACAGTTACATAATAGTCTTAGGTCCTGTGTATTACGATTTATTTGAAGTCATTTTTGTGTTGTCCTAGCGTTAGGTAGATGAATAATTCGTGAATTCACCCTGTCTACAGACATATATACCTTCAATCGCCAATAGGGTAGATGCCTAATTTCCTGGTAGATTATTTTAAATCATTAGACACGTATTTGTTATTTTCTTACAGAAACGAATACTTTCGACGATATATTGATTTGAAATGTCGCGTGACGTCACTTCTATGTACATTTTATACGTAGAAATGACGTGTAAGCCCCATTCCTAAACTTTGATTCGTTTTATCTAAGTATTGTTTTATTACACGACAAAATAAAAAAAAATACGTGTCTAATATGTTTTCATTACCTAACTTACGGACTAATTAGATTTTTAATTTTCAAACCCTGTCATCATCCCAATTATTACCTATTGTTTGTTTTCTTACTAGTAATTGATACTATGTACAATTCAGTGTGCATTGATGTGCTAAATTTGGTAGTTATTATGAATATATGTAACACATTAAATATATATTCTACTACTACATACGTAGTTACTTGATTACTTGTATAACACAATTCAGAAAGACAGACCAATTCAGTAGTTGGTTTTGGTTACTCAGTCAACCAATGCTTGCACAAAGATTTAGCATCATTTAAATGCATAATAATATAATAACAATAGCTATTGTTCACGTGTTGAATCAAATATTTATTTTTTATATTGCATACCAAATAACTCGACTGTGCATTTATAAATACATACGTAAATATATATATGTTTATGTGAGTTCATAAGCCATTAAACCACTTAGTAACAGAACAAAATATATCTAGTAATAATCTTAACAAAATTCGAAATGCCGATAACTATCTAAAGCCTGGTATAATGTTAATGTGCTGCTAACCGCTATTTGGGATGGAAACTTGGAAAAGTATAAGTACCGAACGTTCGAGACGGTCTGTCTATTCTCGCAAATTGCTTTTCTCTTTATTTCGTGTTTATTTGCCCTTTTAGGACTATTATAACACATAATATTGTGCCTGTCTTCGATAACAGCGTAGGTAGTGTTGTTTTAGTACTGAAATGTTAAATGTTGTTAAATGCTGATTGGTAATAATGGATAAGTTCAAGGTTGGTCTAAAATATCGACCTTTATGGTCGTAGCCAGCTTGTAGAGTAGGGTGTTGGGGTAGTCTACACCGGCCGACAAAGTACACAAACAACTTTCTGGATAGCGTATATTGAAATGTTAAACAATAGGACAATTCCGTAAGCACCTTTATCGAGAGCACGAAGGGTGGAAATTGGATCTTTTAAAACACAAAAATTGACAATACGTCGTGGATTCAGTAATTTTGCCAGTGAGGTCTCTAGTATTCATTCCAATTAGGACGTGAATCTAAAATGCAACACTAGGTCAGTCTATGTATCACACAATATGCTTGTTTAAAGAACATTGCTAGACAAGGACTAATAGGATACGTTAATCGAATAAAATTGAAAAGTTAATACCAAGATTGACATAGTCACGTATTGTGATTTGAACGTTTCTATGTGATACGGGGAGCGTTAAAGCCATTTTGAAAAATAATCGTATTTGTTACTTAACTTGTCCAACGACGTAGTTGTCCTAGCTCCATAATATCTTGAATTCCTAATATGTTATTCAGTATGTGTAAAGCTTACGAAACATTGTCAAAGGCAGTTCTGGTGTAGGTGCGCGGAGAACACTCTATCTAATTGGATGGGTACAGCCTGTTGCCTGTACAATGAATTGTCAAAAATGTGGTGTAATCTAGCTCTGTGGGCCCCTGCCCACGTTCCACCACCCCAGCCACGGCCTGCTGCGGGAGAACCACTTCACGCAACAGGCCTACCACAAGTACCACTCGCGCTGCCTCAAAGGTAACTTCATATCTTTGTATCATTTCTAAGTCTACGTGCGGAGGCCCGGCTTCAAAGCCTCGAACACAGGCGTAAGGTTGCAAGCCTTTCAGTCTTCTACCGGATATATTTCGGATAGTTTGCAGGGGAATAGGGTAGATGACTAATTTTTATTTTAATGTCCGTCTGGTAGATTATTTTAAATCATTAGACACGTATTTGTTATTTTCTTACAGAAACGAATACTTTCGACGATATATTGATTTGAAATGTCGCGTGACGTCACTTCTATGTACATTTTATACGTAGAAATGACGTGTAAGCCCCATTCCTAAACTTTGATTCGTTTTATCTAAGTATTGTTTTATTATACAACAAAATAAAAAAATACGTGTCTAATATTTTTTTTATTACCTAAGTTACGGACTAATTATATTTTTAATTTTCATACCCTGTCATCATCCCCATTAAACGTTTATTAGTAGAGAACTATTCATGTTTCTTTGTTTTACGGAAACAGTTGCTTAGGTAATAAGTTTAATAGGCGATATAGTACAATGTTAAGGATTATCTAGTGATACATACCTCTGTGTATTGGTTCAGGGATTAAAAGAGTTAGGTATATGTGAAAATAGGTATCCAAATAACATAAAAAAAATTGGGTACTTTCCTTAATCAAAAATAAATTATTCCGACTGTTCAATACAACAAAATATTAAAAAATAATCACACTTTCATTATTTGATTATATGTCCAACTTTATTTTAGTATATTTTCAGCAATTTTTGAAGAAATAAGTATGCTGTTTGATGTTTCTAAAAACGTGACGTCATTATACACAATTTCGTACAAAATTCATAGAAAACTGTCGTTTTTGACAGTTCAAAAAAAGTATTGAATTTGACTATTTGGCTTGTGGGTACCCAATTGAAGTCAAAATTTACAAATCACATTAAAATGTCAGATAGATATACTTTAGCATCCATAAATTGTCCATTATTAATTGGGAAACTACAATGCGTATGGTGTTAAAGTATTAGTACTAATTAGCTTTATCAACGTTCGTGGTTGATATTGTAGGTAAATTCAATTAATTGTTTGCTGATGTTTTTCTGTAAGGTCGTTGGTGACTGCCAGGCAAGGGATCTATTCTAGGGGTCTATTCCAGTAATAGCTTCACTTTTATTTTTTTTTTGACGTTCAAAAGTGCCTTTTTAGTCTAATTGAAATAAATGATTTTGACTTTGACTTTGACTAACCAGCTGACTTCTTTCGAGGCTGTGCAGTTTAATTTGTGCGTTGTCAGTAAAGAAAAGAACTTTAGGCAAATATTAAGTTAATAAGAAGATACTCGTTACTTACCTTTATTAGCTTGAAGGCTGGCAGAAACTCATCAAAAGTCAGATTAAAATATTAACAAAGTCCTGTTTAAAGGATACTGCTAAATAAAAAGTTGTGAAGGCTTAATGGTCGCTTGTAAGAGAAACGTAAGAATAATAAAGCGCTTTTATTGCTGAGATGACGTAAAATGCGAATGACGGTGAGAAAGAGGGCCCTTGACAGTATTCTGGACTAATGAGGCTGTAAACAGTATTTTAAAGAGTTCCTCAGAGTCCTCATCATTAACTTGCCACTTTCTCTTTTTGAGGCTAATTATAATGTTGATAGCAATGAATTTTTAGTTTAGAATGGATAGTTATTTCAAACCTTGTCATATAAAATAAATGTTATACTTCAAAACATCTGTATATCAGTGTATTTAGTACCTAATTATGTGAGCCATATATAATTATATTTTTATTGGTAAAATTTGATTCGATAGAATAATGAGGATTACTACTATAATAACCACAGGTACCCACAAACCCTGCATACTCGTAACTTTAAAAGCTAAAAATTGTTTTTGAGTTTGAACAAATACATGCATTCACAATAAACTTATTTCTGCGATTCGAAAACGAAACGTAAACGTCAAAACTAGTGCCATTTTTCGTCGTGGCACTAAACTTTGTGTGATCTATTGCCACTGTCGAGCTAGAGGAGTGTCGCGGTTTTATTTGAGTTTTTGTCACCGATTTTGGAAGTCAAATGGTTCCTTGTTTTGGTTCAACATTCAAGTCATCTGCATTGCATTCTGTTGGCTGGTCGCCAAGATCTGTGCATCGTGTTCCTTGATACCTACTTCTACTTACATTTTATATTGTTCTGTTCTCAGCCCTAATTTTGTTCACGTTGAATTTTGTTTTATAACGAGATGTTGGCGCGGAAAGTTTTCAACGGCTGTTTGCCTCGTTTGGAACGTCGTCGTGTTTAAGGATACAAATGTCGTTATTTTTAGAGGATCTATAAATATTTAGGTTTTGCTAATA